TTGTAAACTGCATCATGTATTCATGATTTTTACTTGTATCTTATTTGCTTATTTAATAGATTGCAAACAGGGGGCCCCTTGTTAAAAATTTAATGTCAACTTGGGAAGATTAACCTCGCAATATTTTTGCTGATTGCAAAATTTATAATCTAGCAGTAATCTGTACCTTACTATGATCTAACCATTTGATGATATTTATGTGGCTCTAACATGTAATAGCTTCAATATTTTGGAGTGTATTATTTGATGTTAATTAAGCCCTTTAGTTAAAAATCACCAATTGAAGAATTGCTAGAACCAAAAGCGAATACTGGAACTATTTATATTTACCATGTTGCACCCTCAATGCATGGTTACCCCACGTCTTGTCACCCCCCCCCCCTCTTTGAGGGCCCTCTTTGTTAGCGATTCAGTTCTACACCACTGACTGCTAATATAAAGTTATGTAAAATTTTAATGCCAATAGCTCAGGGAGTGCAGTGCTGTGGGAAGCTCTTTTTGATTGGGGAACTGAAAGCAATGGCCAAAGGCCCGAGGAAATTTTTTAATTTAGTTTTCAAACAGCCCCCCCCCCCCTGGTTGCTACGGCCCTGAGGTGAAATATAACCACTGTCTATCGCATGCATCAGTTAGGTGCAAAAAGCTAAATTCTGCACCAATAATCAATATATGCGCCCTAATCAATATAACCCTTTAAGTGGCAATGTACCCTCATGTGACCTACTTTATTATTTTACTGTGTTTAATGCCAAGGATTTTACTCATCAGGGAGAGAGTGCTGTCACTCAATGGGTTAATTCACAAACGACTCCTTAGTCCTTAACTGTCTGATAAACAATTTTTGTGTTTTAAAATTTGTTATAAACAAGTTAAAATAAAAATATACAAATCTGTATTTATCCTCAAATATGAATAAGGGGTTATTATAGCCCAAGGCCCAAGTATGAACACTTGTGCCACAGTGCCAGCACAAAATGGGCTATTCCAGCTTTCAATTCTGCTGGAATGAGGTGATAAATATTTAGCTTTGGAATTCCTCAGGGATAAGCAAATATTTTCTGTGTGGAATTCTTTGGGGGTAATCTGGTAATGGATATTTTGAATGAGATTTTCTCAGGGGTCAAATGTAAAAATTGAAATTCTTCCAGGGTCTCTCTTCATGGGTATTAACAGGAATTCTTCAGTGGATCTCTTTTATGACCTGTAGGAATTCTTCAGTTCTGCGATATGATGAACTCTTGTGCAACGGACCTGATTGTGAGATTCCACTTCATTGAAAGGACGACCTTAGGGACGGACCGTTAGAAAACTGATGGGGGGGGGGACCAAAAAAGAATTTATTCCCAGGAAAAAATTAGAGGAAAAAATCTTCCCAGGCAGAGTGCCAAAAAAATTCCTTTCTTGGAAGATAGGCCTATAAATTTTAATAAAAAAAATATATTTCCAGCCATCAAGAGAGAAAAAAAAATTTCTTCTATAAGTGTACAAAAAAAATATTGCCTCTTAGAAAATCCCCCCCCGATCACTTTTCTAATGGTCCATCCCTTAGTTAATTAAATTTGCTGTATACATTATGTTGCAACGTGTCACTATTTAATAAACTTATGTACAATTACAAATCAAGCCCACAAATCGTTGAATATACTCTTACCGCTCGTTGCAAACCACGCAGGCGCCTATTTAAAAAGCCCCAGCAACTTAACGCTCGAGAGAGCGTCTTGTTCAACTATAATTGCATGTAATAATTTAGTATTTTTTAATTTAATTTTGTTAGTTTTGACAATCATTCCTTGTATTTTTGCAGTAGGAATTTTTTAACTTCAGCTTTAAATTTTGATGGTTTACAGTAAGTTTCTTTATTCGCGCCGGCAAAGCAATTAAATGTGTCCCGTGCGTTGCCAGAGCGAGTAAAAAATCTATTTAGCGCTTGGCGATACAGACGTGTAATCGATCATGTATTCATGTTGGATGATAAATAATTAATTTGTAACTGAGCAATAACCACTTTTCATAACGTAAGAAATAAGCTTTGCTGAAGAACTATGAACTTACCATATTTTGTCAGAATACAAAGTGGTATATGGTGCATCTAAATGATCAATAATTGAGGTTTCCTTTAAACGTGTCACATCGTTTCTTTATTTGCATGCCTCCGCCTGGACATCTTGCTGCGCGCTTGACTTTAGTCATGCTTTATGCTTATCATAAACTCGGTTTTTGTTTGTAGGAGGCAGTTACTCTATTGCTAGTTGGAAGTATTCTTTATATGTCGCCGACTTTGTGAAATTCGTACCGTGAATATTTAAGTATTGCCCATATATTTTGTTCATGTGAATAAATATGGTATTTGTTCTATAAAAATAAGTGAAGTCTGGCCCCACCTAGGTTTTTGCTGCCCCCCCCTGACCAAAAATCCTGGCTACGCCTCTGATCGAGTTAAGCATGGTTAAATCACGCAGTAGAGACAAGTTCTCGAATGTGCATGGGATATACCGAAAGTGATCTGACGATACAGTGTGTTCATTGTCAAGTGAAGCATGGTTGGACTATGCAAAGGTACTTGAGTTACATGTTCTTGAATGTGAGCTTGATGATGCTGTAAATGACCCACAGCGTTTTGACACGTTTTCCTCAGACCTTCGTTTCGCTCAATGCCCCCGTTTTCATCCGTGTACAGTTGGTGTAAGGATTGGCTTGTTATTGCGATCAAGATAAAAAAGAAACATATTCGCGCACGAAACATGAAGAAGTAACCATCATTTGCACCTGTGAGGCTAAATCGGGTAACCATGAAAACGAGGCCATTGGGGCAAAAGTATATACACTAAACAGTAAAGACTAAAGTCTATTACGTAGAAATGAGAAGTTACTATATTAACAAACATTAGCGAACTTAGGATGAGCTAAATCTAGAACGTGACAAAAAGACAGTTACTTATGCTTTTCTTTTGGATTTGTTACCACTTTAAAATTGTTTTTCACCTGCATCCTTCTTTGTTGACAAAAATATTCCATATTTTTTACCCATGTTGCTGGCACTGCGAATTTAGGGCGTGTTTTTTTGTCACGTCCGCGTCGTATAGATTTACCACATCTTAAGCTCTCTATTGTCATTTCGTGAAGACACAATTAGAGGATGATTGTAAGAAAGTACTGAAGCAATATTGCACTAACTAGACGTCTAAAGTAATCATATAATTCACAAATTTAGGTCAATATAAAGTTGTTCTAATTTATCTTTTTGTACCAATTAAACGCTTATTTATTATTAATTAGGTAATTAGGTTATTCCCTAAAGTTGAAAAATACCGTAGGTCAAGTAAGTGATTTGAATTAAATTACAAAGCTAGAAACTCGAGAATTCATAAGGTAAAAATAAATGAAATCCGTGCTAAATTTTTGTTTCCTAGTACGTCGTTAATTCATGACATCAAAACAATCGCATTAACATTCATTGAATGTGCTACCAATATGGCTGTCGATTTAAGGTCCTCAGGATTGATGTCATAAAGCGCTACTGACCCCAAATAGGATATTTGCATGCGTATAGTATTTGGGTTATAATAAGACTGAAGAAATACAATATATTTTTGTAGTAAAAACCTCATCTTAATCAACTTTCCCACTGTCAAAATTCTTGATTTGACATCATATCCGGCAACTTCTACAGTGAAAAGCCGATACAGATGAAGTTTTTTTAAAGGTAAGTTTGTTTTCTTAGAAAGACTGAATATTACACGTACCAAAAATTATACTGAGACTTCACACAACAGCATTTGTAACGCAATGGCAGCATGCTTGTTGTGTGAGAGGAGTCTAATGTGGGATGGAGAGGAGTCTAATATCTTTTTAAAAACATCTCAAATAACATGCAGCAGAATAAGTTTGACTGTCTATTAAATATTGATCATGATTCCACTTGCATATAAAGTCCATCTGAATCTTCATCATTGTAAACAGAAGGCATTTGAAATCTGACATCATTACATATCTGAATTGTAACGGTTGTTTCACTGAAAACAAAAACAATTACCACGATTTATTGTACCGGACGTTATACTGGTAACTGGTACCCAATGGGATAAGGCTAACGTTACGTCATTGCGACCCATTTCTGAGTCAACGTACGAAACAGAAATTGAAAGGTATGTGGGTGCTACACGCGTAAAAACGCACAAGTTGTAACAAACCTGCAGCAGACTTGTAGCAATGCTGTTCTAAGAACTGCTTGTTCCCAACTTGTTGACAAGTTGTCAACGGCTTGTTGACAACTTGCTACAAGGTTGTTGAGCTCAAAAGACTTGTTACAAGTCGTTCTAACAACTTGTTATCGTCCTGCAATTCAACAATTTGTCAACAAGTTGTGAGTGACAAACTTGTAGCAACTTGATAAAATAACAGCATTGATACAACTTGTTGACAAGCTTGCTACAAGTCCAGGGATGCCGGAAGTTGCTGGGGGCAAGGGGTGCAATTGGTTAACAAGAGGGCATATTCCTTAACAAAACGGCACTAATGAAAATGAAAGGGCATATAAAAATTATTTTTGGCGACCTCCCCCACCCCCCCCCCGTCGCCAAAAAATTTTTGGTCAGGGTATTTAGGGGTAAAAAAAATTTTCCGGACATACCACAATTTTCCTAAATACGAAAAAAATTTTCCGGACATACCGAAAAATTTTCCGGAAAATGTTATTTTTTCCGGAACTTAAAACATTTTCCCGGAAATAACATAGATTGAATTTTTCAAAAATGCTCTTTGCGCAAAAAATGCAATTTTAATGAAAATTTTTCACGCAAAAAGGGCACTTTGTGCACCCGTATTCTGCACCCGTACTGCACCCACAAAGTTGAAAATGCAAAAGGCAAGGGGTGCAATTGCACCCGCTGCACCCGTGGTTCCGGCATCCCTGTACAAGTCTGTTGCGAACACAACTTGTTGACAAGTTGCGAGACTTTTACGTGTGTAATATAGGGAATGTGAGAAATAGTTTCTGCAAGCCATCTGCCACTCCCCTCCCATCTCCGATCCCTTCCAGTCGAATATTGTTTATTGTTTACAGATTGCGTTCTGTCGTACTGCCTCAGGTCAACTCTATTGTCTTCTAAAATCTATTGATTCTGTAAATTAAAAGGCCATGGGAACGAGGTTGACTTTAAGGGTGTCTAAAAAAGGAGACCTTTAGAAATTATCCTATAGTGATTTGAATGCCTGAGCACTATCACAGAATAAGGCACACAGAAGGCCGACTTCTTCGTTTTTCCTATGATTTTGGCGTAACTCGTGATTCGTCATCAAATGCTGACGCCATGGTCCTAGCCAGTGCGCGTTGGAGAGGCATTCACCCCCCTGATAATATTCAAAATGGTGGACGTCCAGGGGGGGGGGAATGCCTCTCAAACGCGCACTGGCTAGGACCATGGCGTCAGCATTTTGATGATGAATCATGGCGTGGCAGCGGTTACTCGAGTCGACCTTCTGTGTACCTTATTCTGTGGCACTATGCTGAACCCATGGATGCGTAAAAAATTGACAGCGGTGCATATATTAAAAAATAGTGCGCAAGGATTTGCAATTTTGTTATCAATTTTATAATGCAAGAAAGATGGAAATATTTTGCCCAAAATGTAGTATAACAAAACACAACAGCATGACAAATCTTTTCTTTGAATGTCAACTTTTGTTTAATTACTGTTATATTTAAAGTTAATCTACTACAACTTTTAAATGGCTTTATCACTGTCCGAAAGATAAAAGAAAAACTCAATTTGTAGAAATGTTGAAGATATATGTTGAAAAAATCTTTTGCTTGTGAATTATAACAAGAACTTTTAACAATAAAATAAACAAGTTTTAAAAGGTTTTTGTCACTAAATGTCCCCATTTTGACGCGGAAAATTTTTACACTTTTTAGTGCGGCGCTCATTCGGGGGCGGCGTTCTTTAAAAAAATTGATCTCAAATGCGGCGCTCATTCGGGGGCGGCGCTCAGTCGGGGGCGGTGCTCAATCGAGTAAATACGGTAGTCATACTATCAGTTCGAGTTAAAATGGTTCAACTAACCAGATAGCAACGAGTTTTTACTTTTTACGCGTTGCGTTAATTAATAACTTCTTATTAACCGAGCGCGAGGTCTTTACAGAGAAATATCGGACCGAGGTCTTATTTGTACAGACCGAGCCCGTAGGGATGTAATTTCAAGATGTAATTTCATCTGTAAAGGCCTAGCAAGCGAGGTTAATAAAAAGTTTACCATATGGCATTTATACTTGAAACAAACAAGAAATGCTTGATTTGAAATGCATATTAGTAGCGTGGTCCACATTTGATCGAAGAAAACAGAATATACCCATTTCTATTAGTTTTGCTGTTTTGTTTTAAAATGCATGCGTTTGTTTTTACGTGATGGACCGCCGGTCCATTACGGGAAAATAATGGACCGCTGAAAGTGCTTCTTAGCCAATCACAGTCCGCCATTTCACCGGAAGTGATGCTTGCCATATAATAATAAGCACATAATCATATGTTGAACGAAACCGAAAACTTTTGAATAACTTCCCATGCATAAAATTCGATTCAATTGTGTTTACGCACCCATGGTTCAGTTTAGTATACACCTTATTTTTATAGAGACACTTTGCATAAGTGATCATTACAAATGAAGGCAAATAATTTCAATGTTAATGACTAGTCCAGCCACGTCTCATCATTGTGTGAGGTCGAAGTTAGAAACGACGTCTAAAACGTTTTGGAGGACTTCCCCGCCGACGGTAAAATATTCCTTCGTCACTCCTTCGGGTTCGTGTACACACGTCGATTTGTCAGGCGAAATCCTAATACATTTTTAATTAATGGTATTTGATTTTTTTTCTGTGTTGGTGTAATGTACTCAGGTGAATATGATGCTTGTGATGTTACTCTGAGTGTATATCCACAAGGGGCAAGCTTGAAAAATATGCCTGACCACAGAGGGAATCGAACCTACGACCTTTGGAATACTAGCCTAATGCTCTGCCAACTGAGCTACGCGGTCTGGTCGGTTCGAGTATGTGATATTTCGGAACAGAAACTAGTTCCTTCGATACCAATGTAATCTAATAATATGATTTTTTCTGTGTTGGTGTAATGTATATTGATGTACAGATGAGCCGCGCAAAAAATATTAAATACATAAATGAAATCATGAAGTGTGTTTAGAACAGGACTTACTATGAATGCTACACTGCAGAAATAATAACTTGTCCTATAAAATTCAGAATACCAATTCCAATGATACCACAATGAAGAAGCCCAGCAATTATCGTTAGTTTCCTTTCATTTCTTTTCTGGATGATGTAAATTATTGGAGGTAAAGCGTAAACATACGTTAGACCACACAGAGCTCCTGTGAATCTAGAAAAAAAAATTGCGGAATATTTTTAAAGTTAGTAGTCTAGTAAAACTTCCTTTGCTCGAAGTTTTCTTTATCTCTCTTCGGGAGTTTCGACAAAAACGAAGACAGATTATAGTTTGAATGCTAGCTATCCAGGTGTTGCAGTATGACGTATCATCAAAATATAGTCCAGTCAATCTGTGACCAGAGGTCAAAGAAATCGCAATAGAATTTTTTTCACTGGTAAAATGTGAAGGAAGGTGTCCTTATTAACATACTAAAAATCCCAAAAAGTCCCTTCGGTGGAACATGGTGAAAATCAAGTTTTTCTTACTTTTACCTATAGAAAATCTATTTTGTGCCATTGTGGACAGAATGTTCCAATTTTGAAATCATTTTTAGGCAAATGTAACCTACATTATTGGAAAGCTTAAACAAAACTATATAAAGGTCAATTAAACCGTTATATTCAATTTACTGGTCAGTTTGTCGTTATTCTAGCTCAAAGTTGGAAAAATAGCGCAAAATTTGCACAAAATACAAATTTATGGCATTTTAAATCTTGTATAACTTCGACTGGATAGGCAAAAGCAAGGTAACCGTTTAATTGATCTATATTTTAGTTTTTTCTAAGCTTTCCAATGATGCATGTTATATTTGCAAAAAAATAATTTCAAAATTTCAACATTTTGTCCGCAATGGTTTTCTATAGGTAGAAGTAAGAAAAACTTGATTTTCACCATGTTCCACCAAAGGGATTTTTTGGGATTTTTAATATGTTAATCAAAACAACTTTTCACACACTTTACCACTGAAAAAAAAATCTATTGTGATTACTTTGATCAGAACCATGTACTTATAGTGATTTGACTGTACTATAATCCGCCATTTTGGGTGGCAAAAAACTCAACCAACTACTACACAGCTATGGACCATTATAAGTAACTCTTCAAAGCGCTCCAACAAAAGCAACAGCCACAGTCTTGCTCAACCTCGTTCCCACGTTTGCTTTTAATGAACTATTCTTAATTTGCCTGCACCCAAAATGTCAAGAAATACGTATTGGACGTCACTTGGAAGAGCCCAATACAGGAACATCACATTTTTGATATACTTATAATATCACCCTGGATTTTGTGCCTTGTTTGCACGATGCTACTATTCAGAGTATGTTTCTTTTTTCTTATAGTTTTAGCAATATTTACCTGATTATATTTCCAACATGTGGATAAAAACAAGCAAATAAAACTGACATTATTACCAGGAATACATTCAGTAGAAAAATATGAAGGAAGCTGAAAGACAATAGACAAAATATAGAATATTTTAATCACTGCGTATATGTCCTACCCAACCCTATTGAACATATCCATTGCCCATCCCGTACCCATGTCTGTCAAATGGTGGATACTAAAACATGAATCTATGCACTCAAAGCATTATTGTTTAGAAAATAAATCATAATTACTAGAGGACTTCATTAGTATCCCGAAGACGTCACAAGGATTAAAATTACGGGATTGGAACTAGGATTGAGGTTATTAATAGGGAAATTAACCTAGATTATTTATTGGATTTGAAATACTGAGAAATTGCCGGTAGCTGCGAAGGAGGAAAACCATACATAACTGGGATCGTTCCACCCCTGTTGGAAAACGAAAAACGTTTAAACACATGCAACATAGAACAAGAATACTTTACCCAATTATATCATATACAAATACATTTATTTTCGGCACCACTCCCTTTTCTCAGTGGCCGGACAGTTTGCCGAAAGACATTTTGCCAAAAGACATTTTGCCGAACGGACGTTTTGCCGAACGGACGTTTTACCGAACGGACAGTTTGACGAACGGACAACTTGCCGAAAATAGAGATATCTTCTGAACTTTAAAGGTTCGCTTACACGGTCAAAGTTTCTGTGATTAAAGTCATTGTAGATTTTATGACAGAAACTTTGATAGTGAAGTATAGTTTCGTTTTATATTCTTTCAAGTTTTTTACCGAAATTTCGCGATATAAAGAATGACATCATCCAACATCATTCATGAATGCGATTTCCCCGAGAACTATTGGAATGCATGTATTCCATGATTCTCGAAGTGAAATTCGCTTACGTCGTTGTCTTTATATACGCTTGTTTGTTTACGACCTGACGTCAAAACACGTTTCTAACAAATGAGTCATCCGCTGCACAAACAAGCTACCAATAGTCAATATGGTTATGCACTGCTATATAATGACCATTATGCACTGCTATGACCATATAATTGTTATTTTACACAATGGTTGAGAATTACATGCAGTCCCAAACATTTTGACGAAATAACATCTCTATTTTCGGCAAGTTGTCCTTTCCGCAAGTTGTTCTTTCCGCAAACTGTCTGCTCGGCAAAACGTCCGTCGGCAAAATGTCTGTTCGGCAAAAGGTCTTTCGGCAAAATGTCTTTCGGCAAAATGTCTTTCGGCAAAGTGTCCGGGTACCCTTTTCTCTAACTAGGAAAACTTATACTGACTCAGTACACCTAGCTAACTTTGTATATTGGTGAGAGTGGTGTACTCTCTCAATCGAATGCATGGCCTTACGTTACTATTATATAATTTAAAAGTTGTCTACGAGTACTTTGTGTACGCATTTTTTCTGCAAACAATAGCTGGTTTTTCTTGCATCATAATTACTGCAGTCTGCATACTACTAAGCAAATGTCTTTTCGAATGTGAAATTGCACTTCAGTGAAGGCAGTAGTAGGAACCAGTTATTTTAATTAGATATTAAATACGTGTACCTTGGGTATGGATTTCCAAAGAAAAAATTCATAATTTGAATTCTGATGATGTAGACCAAGAGAGGAAGAACAGTAATCAGTTGAAATAGAAAAACTAAACGAACACCAAATGCCATTCCATCACTTGGTGAAAAATTCTCAAGAAGTATCTAGAGAATGTCATTATTTTAAACATAAATCAATGAGATTCATTGGTTACTGCAATGTACTGTTCAATAAGTAATTAACTAAATTATGAAATAAATATGTGACAAACTATTTGTACCAGTTAAAGGGCGTAGATTCGGGGCGTACCTGATCGATACAAGAGCTTTTGTTCTTGGGATAAGCAAGATAAAAAACAAATCCAACTAGACTGTATGTTAATCCAACAAGAACGTATGCAAGGAAAACATCACGATCCTACAGAACGCAAAACAAGTGGAGGTCATCGAGAGAATGCACTATTTCAAGAAAACTTTACAATATTTTACACTCAAACCATGCTTTTGCATTGACAGTACCACTGGAAGCACTCAATATAATTTCCTGAGCCTTAGACAGGTACAACCAGTGGTGTGGATCCAGGGTGGGGGCTCTCATCGGGGGGGGGGGGGGGGTAACAAGGTGTGAGGGTGACAAGGCGTGGAGGGTGCAACTTATAAATAACAAAAACCATGGAAAGTTCCAGTCTTTATTTTTTATTCTAGCAATTCTTCAATTGATGATTCCCCTTATTACGTTTTCGTAGCGCTTTGCATTGTGGTTATAGTGATATCACTGAAAAAGATAGCGGCCTCGAATGAAAATAATGAATGTTTTCGCGAATATTTTGCTGTTGGCTATCGCGCACCTGACTCTAGCCTTTTTTAAAAGTTCTTGCACGGGTCAGGACAAAAAATAAGCCATCTTGAATATCAGTGATACCACTATAACCACACAGCTACGAAAACGTAATAAGGGGAATCTAGTATTAGTGTTTTTTAAGAAAGGTCTTAACTTGAAATAAAAGATTGCGATATAGCGACGCTATCTCATGTTAGAGTCACATAAATGATCTAAAGCTAGGACCACAGTAATCAAGTACAGACTACTAAAATCATTACCGCGTCATCATTACGGTTGCACCTTTCTAGGTTATGAATCTGCAATCTGCAAAACTATTGTGGACTCAGCCTTCCAAATCGACATGAAATCTTAACAAGGGGGGGGGGGGGGATGGCCTGGCGCCCCTTTTCTATACCCCTGGGTACAACCTAGTGCACACGCTCTTCCCTCTTGTGGAAGAAAAGGGAACGAGATTGCCAGAGGGGTTGGAACTGCGGAGTGAGGTAAACTGTAGACATACAACAGTAATTTAACAATACCTGTCAGGATACCACAAAGATCTGGGCTTAGGAATCTAAAACTTTGCGAAATAACCGCAATTGGTTTTTCCACAAACACAAAGCAATTATGATCTTCATACTTACGTTATTTTTCGGATATTTTTGGTATCTCGTAATTGATAGAACGCAGTTATGAATAAAAAATGCCAATGTTAATGTTCCAGAAAGAGCTGGAAATGACGATTTTATTTCTGGAAAAGAAAGACAGATACAGAAACTAAAAACATACATACTTATCTGACAACCTACTGATTGCTTTAACCGTATTAAAATCACACAAAAGTAAATACAAGACAAGATTTCCATACAATTATTTATTTCAAACAGTTTGTTTAGCTGTCGTCCTGACGTCACCTTCTTACATGCGTAAATTACTTATTTATAAATGGGGATGATTTGGGGGTTGTTTGGAATTTAAAATACTTGACGTCATAAGCATGCTCAGGGTTGTGGTCTGAAAATCGAATACTTAAAGAAGATTTACGACCAAGTTGAGAATTAACTGGAAGGTTGGTTAACTATTTAGTTAGTCAGGTTGTCTAGCTTTTAGTTTTTCATTGCTTGTTCTCTTTGTTGTTTTGTGAGTCAGTTGTTTGGTTGGTTGGCTGGCTGGCTGTTTATCGATTATATACTGCGTTACTTACGTTCGACATAATGAAGCGAATGACTGTTGCTAAATTCTACATGGATTCCCCACTTGGCAGCCTTGTAGATGGTGAATACGATTACATAAATAACACAAATTGTTCCTAAATGAACAGGCAAAAATATGAATTGCGTGAAAATCCACGCGTAAAAACCTATTCCCGGTTGAAATCGAAAGGTGTGAATAAGGTTGTGCTGTATACTATGAAAAACTTGTCAACAATTTTGTTACGTGTATACTATGACCGTTGAAAACGTTGCAGCTATTAAGGAGACATCTATAGGCAAATTGTAAAAAATTAAACATACCTAAAGCATTAAATTTCGTAAAAAATGTTGGCGACTTTATATTCATTAATGGAAAAATAATAATAACTAAGAAGAATGGGACGGTTTTCTGTTTATCCCAGTAGTCGAAGAAACCTTTGTCAGCTTCCGTCAATTTAGACATGCCATCAGCTGCACAAAATACTTAAGAGAAAGAACAAAATAATTCAAATCTTATTCAGAGGCAATTGGGGGGGAGGTCAATAAGGGGGTCCGACCAACCTTGTAATTCTTTCAAACTGAGGTGAAACTGGAAGGCCGAAATCTGTGGTTTCAGATTAACGTAAACCCCCCCCCCCTCCTACGCCACTGATCTGACTATCTATTAATATCCAGGTTAAAAACCAAATACATACGAAGTGTGCAAAAAAAGTTTGATTTAATGTAACGCATAAAGAAGAACAGCTTTTGTACCCAACTATGTTTTAGTCAGTTTTATCATATCCAGAAAGGGGAAACTTTGATGCATTACAATAAGATTTTCATTTGCTATTGACGGTCGTGAGTTATCCATGTTTTTAAATTGATTACGCTTATTGACAAGGCTAAATATTAGCATACACTGACCATCAAATAGCATTTGGTTAAACATGATATTAAATAGTTTTATTATCGTCAAAATAAACAAAATAACGTAAACATTTATTCAGCAATGGGCAAGAGTACATTACCTAACTCTGGAAACCATGCTATTAAGAGAATATTGGATAATTTGTTGGGGGCACTTTGCCCCGGGTCTCAGGTTAAAAAGGGGGCCCAAAGCAACGAAAGCCTTTAAAATTGCTTAACTGAGAATATAAATCCTAAAGCCAGGGGGCAAACATGGAAACATTGTTGCGGAAACATTTGTGATTCTCGATGTTTCCTCAAATGTTTCCATGTTTGCTCACCCGTGGAAACATTGTTGCGGAAACAAAATTTGCTTCCCGGGAAGCAAAAATGTTTCCTACAAACTTCAGAAACATTTTATATTTCCCTTTATAATATAGCATTTGTAAATTCTTAACGCTGATTGGCTAAGAGCCGTGTTGATATAACTCAATGTCAACACGGGAGATTTTCCGCCGCTTGTAAACACGGAAATGTTTCTTATCCTTCGGGCTTTTGACATTGCTATATTATAAAAAAAATATAAAACATTTTTCCGTATTGATATATAGTTATATCAACACGCGTGGAAGTTGGGAAAACTCGAAATTGTATGAAAACACTCCGCCCTTCGGGCGTCGTGTTTCCATACAATTTCTCGTTTTCCCAATTCCACTCGTGTTGATATAACTGTATATCAACACGGAAAATGTTTTATATTTGTTAAATGTTTCTCACTAATGTTTCCTAGTGTTTGCCAACTCTGGGAAACATGACGAAACATTGGTAGGAAACAATGTTTCCGCAACAATGTTTCCGCAACAATGTTTCCTAGTTTGCCCAGGGCTTAACTGCCTTAGTGTCGGATAATGTACAATTAAGTGTAATGTATTATAAAACAACACTTCTCCCGGTTTACAACTATGACGTCATAGCCCCCCTGGGAACATTTTATCTCGGGCTCTACGCAACCTCTTGGGGGCCCAGAACTTAGACCTTATACAGGTTCTTAAAATAACTGAAGTGACTGGGTGCTGGTTGTGACTGCATGGTTAGCCTTTTATACGTAAATAAATCATACTCCCTGAAATAGTATATCAATACATGCTGCAGATCCTCAAGTATGTTTAGTTCGAGGGGGGTTAATTTGGGAGAAATCTTAAAAGAAGGGGGGCTTAAAAGAAGGGGGACTAAAAAGAGAGGGGCTTATTTGATTTAGTCAGTGAGTAAGACACGTGGTAAAGTATCGTTCCAGGCAAACTACGGCTACCATTGAGGAACCGTTGACCAATCAGATACATTTGAACTAGCCGATTAACCAATCAGATGCTTATTAAGCCAGTGAAAGGTAGTGGTCAAATCTGAACCTCTCTAATATTAGAATCAGTACATACAGTATGTATTATTTTGTTGTGAAGGGAGCGGGGCTTAATAGAGAGTAGAATTTTAATAGATTTCTGCTTCTAAAAAGGGGGAGGGATAATTAGAGAGGCGACGTACAGTATTTGAGAGGGCCGTAATAAAGGATTTACTAAAATTTCCTTGCTATTTTTTTCAGTATTTCTTTAGCTAGACTACCTTAATAGAACTTTTTAAACCGAAGAAGTGAAAACGCTTTACCTCCGGTAGAACCATTAATCGAGGTAGTATTGATGGGATGTGCTTTGTCTGGAAAAATAACAAAAACACATAATTATTATAATGCATAATTATATTATATTTTAATGAAGTACAACACTCACAACAGCTAAAATAAATTCTCAAGGCTCTGCCGTATTATTAATTAATCAGCAGATAGGGTGGACAGAGTGATTTCCACTAGTCATAGGTTTCAAGCTAAAAGATAACATTGTCTTCTTATAATGGCTACAAGATACATAATTCATCCATGCAGAAGGCAAATTAATCGAGAACAGACAACGCCGATTATCAAGTGATTTCCTAAGCAATCTTGCATGCTAAAAGGATTTACACATAATTTGTGTTTTGGCAAAGCTTTCGGTTTGTAAGCCCTGATCTTCATCAGGGTAAATAATGGATGAATTAGATACGGATGAATTAGATACGGATGAATTAGATACGGATGAATTAGATACGGGTGTTGAGGTTTACACTTATAGATTACCTTACTTTCGATTTGTCGTTTATTTAACTTTCTTTTTTATTTTCTTTCAAACTTTTCGAAACTGTACATTGTAATTATCATTAGATTATACATGCCCATTTTTAAAGTTCGGCAAAAATTGCAAGCTGAAGCCTGATCGATGTTATACGCGGTAACTTTTCTCAGATTCATTTATTGATGGCAAAATTTTAAGTTCGGTATATATAGGGCCGGTATACTTTCAACTCGAAATTTGGTGTGTAAATATTACTTGTTGAATACAAAGCAAGGCAGGAAAAAAACGTTTGTTGTTAACAAGTCCTTGAATGTAACTGTAGTGTGGTATATTCCTGTTGCCTTTATAAACTGATTAATACACACGTAAAAACGCACAAATCTGTTACACATCTGTTCACAAGCTGTCGACAAGTTGTTTTCGCACGGCTTGTCCCCAGTTGTTGTAACAAGTTTGAAACAAGCTATTAACAACTTGTAACAAGCTTGATGGCATTATCAGACTTGTTACAAGGTTGTTCTAATAAGTCTGATACAGTCACGATATAACAAGATTGTTACAAGGTTGACGACACAAGGTTGTAATAATACTGCTATATCAAATAACTGTATCGGACTTGTTGGAACAACCTTGCAACAAGTCTGATAATATCAACAAGGTTGTTACAAGTTGCTAACAGCTTGTTCCAAACTTGTTGACAACTTGGGACAGTGCGAACACAACTTGTTGACTGCTTGTTGGCAGACGTGCTACAAGATGCGAGATTTTTGCGTGTGTATTGCGCGGTCACTCAAGCGCGTGCATGCGTGCATGCATTGTGCATGCACTGTGCGTGAACAAACTGAAATTAATTAATCGCATACGAAAGTGCATGTTTTATTGCAATCACTTTCACAATTTGGACAGACGGAACATTTACAGGCGCAGATCTTGGTAGGTGCAGTATTGATATATACAGTATATACATCGTATACAAATAGCATTGATAAAATGCAAAGACGGAATGTGGTGTTGACTTTTCTCTCCTTATTTCAAGGTAAGGCTAAACAGTAGTCAGTATAAATTACTGTCAAAACTAAAAAATTGGAATCTTTATGAATTTTCAGTTTATATAATGACACGAAAAGCTAGCCAAGTTTGTGACACTGCTGACAATTGCTTTCAAGGAATTACCCCAAGAATGTTGTTCGGTTTTTTTATATTTTCTTTGATTTTTCATTGGCGTTGCATGTGTGCAAATGTTTTATTCGGCACATTGGTATACGTGTCAAGCCTGTCTGAGCACAAATTGTGAAACTTCTGTTTTCATAATTACTTTGTAGACGTTGAATTTCCTGTCGAATTTAGTTCGTTGAATATAATGCTGTTGCATAATTTTTCTTATTCGTGCAAACTAGACAATGAATCATGCTATCATGATGCAAGCTTAAAAATGGTGCATATTGTTACATGCAATACATTAGTATGCATGTGTCAGAATGCATAAACTGACATAATGATCATTTGTATATAATCGAAACCGCGGAAATTTCAGTATTAGTATTAAGATTTGTATTGAATACCGCAGACAGCTACCGCGTTTCAAATGTTTTCTCTTTAGCTTATGGTACTGTAATTACTTCTGTTGTTTGCACTATTCCTTGTAAATAATGTAGATAGCCATGTTCCCTTCCTGACCTAGCTACACAGACATGCATATATACAAATACACGCCTATATATACAGCTCGCGAACTCGTCCAATGGATTGAGATTTCTTTCAGATTTTCATTTATCGCCTAGTCGCGTATGTTTAGTGAAGCAGCAGTCAGAGTGATAATGCCCAGAAGGTTTTGCCCTTAAGATTTTCCATTTGGTCCTAACTGTGGTCTGGCCCGCCGAGAGGGGCACTTTGCCCCGAGCCCCCAGTTCAACACGGGGCCCCACTAAGCAACGAAGTCCATTAAAATTTCTTGATACAAGATTGCTTAACTGAGAATATAAATCCTAGCTGTGTTAGTGCCGGATGATATGTAATAAAGTGTAATATATTGTAAAACATCGCTTCTTCTCCCGTTTTACAATTATGACGTCATAGAAAAGGAAACGTTTTGCCCCGGGCCCCACGCAACCTCTCGACGGCCCCACAAACGAGAGATGCCAGACGCATGTAGAGGTCCTATTACCTATCCAAAAATTAAAATAAATCAGGAATAAATCACGTAAAATTAAACAAAAGTTAGAAAGTGACGAAATACTTCGCCACAAAATGAAAATAACGAAGTGAAACGTTGCTTCTTAATTAAAGTAAAAGTACTCCAGAAAAGGTTTACTTTGCTACACGCTGATTTCCCAAAAATAGTACTCAAGTACAGTAACGAAGTACACGTACTTCGTTACTTGACACCACTGGGTATACATGAATAGACTGAAGTACATGAGGTATATTCACGAACGCATTTTATATAATATTATACCTCAAATTAAAATTGTCCAATGAGAAAGCTAGATTTGTGCCATGTGATCGTGAAATTTATCATCGTATCGCGCTTACGTCATTCGTATTTGGTGCAGCAGGAAATTTCAGTCATATTCACCGGTGAATATGAGTCAAATTCACCGGTGAATATGATTCGCGAACATCACGCGAGACCACACGCAAGGCTAAAAAATGGCGGGAACAATGTTGTTTGCTTGAAAGGCAAAAATAATAATAATAATAATAATAGTGGGTTTATTAATACACGTTCAATAGCAAAAAGCTAAATTACAACGTGTTTACATCGTCAGATATTAATTAGAATTAATTAGAATTATTACTTATTTAAAACTATTTACATCAATGGACCTATATGTATATTAAAATCGTTTATATATATATATATATATATGGAATTGTATAAAAATGTATATAAATCTTACTTTTCTAATTTAAAATTATATTCATTAATAGCATGAACTACAGGGCTGTTTCTAAAACGTTCAGTGTTGCAAAAAAAGTTATAAATCTTTTCACCATTTGTCCTAGTCTCTCTTTCCCTGATGTCACTCAGTTTCTTTGGCAATAGTCCGTGAAGTCTGTGTGATGGTTGTAACATGTTCTCAATTAAGGAGGCACATAAATTGTTTCTGCGTTCTTTTAAGGTCAGCAGATTGCTCTGAGATAATAGAAGTCCATAATCACAAAGGCCAGGATAAATTATTCGGAGGGCTCGTTTTTGGATTCTTTCTATGTTTTTCTTATGCATTTGTGTCAGACCACCACTCCAGATTTGTGCACCATACTCCAGAACAGAACGAATTACTGTACAATAGAAAGCTAATAGGTCATTTTTTGGTGCACCATAACTCTTTAAGATCTTCAAGAGGTAAAGTCGCTTAGCGCCTTTTTTTACAATATACTCAGTGTTGGTTTTCCATCTCATGTCATCGTCTATCCATATTCCTAACAATTTATACGACTTTACACGGGATATTTTATCGTCGCCAATATTAATCAGTGGTATTTCTGTTTTCTTCTTCCGAAAATCAATTAGCATTTCTTTACATTTTTTTCCATTCAGTTCCATACTCTCATCCTTTGCAAATTGCACTACGTTATTTACACTTCGTTGGGTGTTACCAATTGGGCTACCAGATAAATGTTGAGTTATGGTAATGACTTCGGAAAATGTACTATCATCAACGAACATAGCTATATCTTGATCATCAGATGCTTCACATATCTGTTCCTGCTCATTAGGTATAGCGACTTGTGGGAGATGGTTAATTTTCAGGATAAATGCTATTGGACCCAGCTTGCTACCCTGTGGGACTCCATCCCTGATCTTTCGCAGGTCTGATTGCTCACCTTGAAATGATGTAAATTGCGATCTGCCATGTAGATAGGACGCAAACCAACCCACTAATGCGGGCCGTACACCGATTCCAGTGAAGGTCTCAAGAAGCTTGTTGTGATCTACAAGATCAAACGCCTTCCGACAATCAAGAAAAACAATTCTAATGACCTTTCCTGGAGTGTGCATTGCCGAGTGCCATTTATGCAGTAAGTAGATCAAGGCTTGAACTGCAGATGTACCAGGAAGGCCGCCAAACTGGAATTCACTAATTTTTTCCCGAACATCTTCATAAAATCCATTTGGTGGCGTATGACTCTTGGACTTTGGACAAGGTACTTGTTAGTGCAATTGGTCTCAGAAGATCTACTGAACAGCAAGGCTTGTTCTTTGGTATTCC